GATAGATATATTTTTTATCCCTCGAAAGGCGATACTGATGTTTTTTTACAACATGCATTATCGATTTTTCAATGAATTTTATTAATCATTCTGGTATCAGAGTTGGATAGCATTTTTTATTTGATATAGACGAGACAAAATCATGATCAGGCGCAGTATTTCAAAGTAGGACATTAAGACTACTAAAACACAGGCGTTAATTGTTTAATTATTTCGGCAGTGTAGAAAAAAAGGATTTTTTTATAATCTCAATTCTCGATTCTGAATTCTCGTAATTTTTCACAGAAAATATCCCGCGAGTACGTGTAAAAAATTGAATTAAAAAACCTAGCGAAGGTTTTAAACAATTTCATCGGATTCTATAAAAAATTTAATGGAAATCGACTCCTCCAATATTCTGAATTTTCCATTTCATTTTTCTGATATGAACAAAATAAAAATAGAGTGAACACTCAAAAATTCGATATAAAATATCGCGATAGAATGATTTAACTATAAAAATCGACTACCAATTTTTACATGAATCAGCTATGCCAATATTTAACTAATAAATATTTCCTCTCGTGAAAAAAATTGTCCATTAAATTCTCGCCTAAAATTTCCCCGTAAAACGATAACCAACACTTCCAGTGGTCTTATCAGGTGTCCCAAATTGATAATACCGCGCCCGATCCCCAATTTATCCGACATAATTTCGAGAAATTCAAGGTGACTCCTGGTGTACTTGATTTCCTCTCAAAATTTGCGTATATGTCTTGATGCGATTAAGAAAAGCAGAGAATACGACGTTGTTTTTGTTTTTTTTTTAAAAGTTTTTGTTTGAGTATGAAAAGCATGGGTAGGACGAGAGAAGTAAACCGAGATTATCGAGATGTGCACCGGGAAATACAACTTTAATATCCACTCGTAAACCCTCACAATACTCATCTACTCGAGCTTTTTTACACAGCGCTCATAGAAATCGACAATTTTTTTTCCCATCTACATTGTCTGGTTATTATTCCCAATCTCTCAGCATTTTTTAATCAATACTCTTCCTTCATACCTCATTTAAATGACGAAAGTGACGCAGTATAATGGCACACAGCATGGCAGTTGCAACAATGTACTTTGATAATTTTCATTTGTTTTTTTTTATATCTTTAGCCTTAACCGCTAGAACTTATGAGTTTAAACTTACATAACTAATCTCCTCATCCTCTATATTTCTCCCCTCACTGCCCACCAATTCAATTCACGTTGTTCTATAGATTTTAACTACAACTTGTTTTTCACCATTGACATCATTTAGTTAATTGTTTGAATTATATTAAACCCCTGCGGGGGATTTCCCTAATTCACTCGTGAATGTGAGGAGGCGTGCTGACTCCATAGGCGAATACTTTGGTTTAATTATAATAATCATCATTTATCATTCCACAATCCTCATATCGTTCCATTAATGTTAATAAATATGTACACGCGAGTGCCATTTATGGACCATTTATCATTTTTTTTTTACCTTGAATTTAAACTCTGACGATACAATTTGTTCATTGATCAATTAAATAATGTCTTCACATTTGACAACTTATAAATAAATATGTTCACGCGAATTTGAATTATTACCTCCTTGCTTAAAAATATTGATGTAGCGATAACACGTAGAAATTGTTTGGTATTTGGTTTTTGCATTTTTTTAATCTCTCTCATTAATTTGTTTTTGCTTTATTTCTCTCTCTTTCTCTCTCTTCAATTTTTCATTTCCCTCTCACACTTGCACTCGCTCTCTCTCTCTCTCTTGCATTATTAATCTGTTTTTTCTCTGGAGAATAAAAAAACGTTTAGGATCCAAGTCCAAAGCCATAAAAAGTGCGAATAGACTGCAAACTACTTTTGCACGCCCACATTTCAATTGTTAATCATATTCTTCATTTTGTCCCATTTGTTAATTATTATTCACATAAAAACATTCGTTAAATACTAAACAGTCGAGTCGAAAAATAATCGTTACAGCTCCCCATTTATCTCGGGGGAATCGTTATACACAATGCGGTGGGTGAATTATTGAATTATTCAATATTTCTCATCAACACGAATAGCCACCGCTTTTAACGAATTAATTATATGTTTCAATAACGAGAAGAGTGTCTTTGTATTCAATCGAAGTAATCAGCCAATTATTTATATTCATTATTTATTTTTCATTTGAATTTTACTTAATTTATAACGCACATTCATATAGGGAAAATTACTCGTTACATTTTGTTTCATTAATCTCATTTTTTTAAATACTAATAATTATTCATCTTCATGTAATACAATTTTCATCGATTATCCCTATACTAGGAATAATAGCTCATCATCTATAACACGGTGCACTGAAACTCTGAATTATCCTCCGACAATAATAATAATGAATACAGCAATTTATAGTATTTGTATGTGTCAACAAGAAAATTCAATTCGTCACTTTGTTTTTATTTTTCTTTATAACCCATTTCTATTAAATCCCCGAACGTACGAAGGAATTTCCTCTGCATTCATTGAAAAATCATTCGTCGTTAACAATGTGTTCCTTTTAACGCTTTATATTTAATCGTTTAATTAATTACTTTAATGTAATTTGTTAGCTATGACATAACACGATGATATAGGCTTGATATGACGGTGGCACGTATTTAAATAAATAAAATTGCCCGGCGAACAACCCTGTTGTCGCGTTATTAATTCTCCACGGATTCTTCACAGCTATAATTTTTAATCTGTTAATTCACATACAATAGCTAACTTGCATAACTACTATTTTTATAATCCCCGAATAAATTGTCTCTTTATTTCCACTTGCAAGTTATCAATTTTACCCACCGCCCACGCATCCTCCATAACTCGAATCAACTTTCGTTTTATTTTTACCTATTTGTTGGTTTATAATTGAAAATTCACCGACGGAAATGTTCATTTTATTATTTATCTCGATAAATCTTTGACTCTAACAATTTACTGGATAGACAAGCCATGATTTCGTTCACACTGAATGGACAATTATAATATATCATCAATTTGTTTATAATTCTCTCATTAAATATTTACCGGGGACGACTCAAACGTGAAATATTCATACAAGGTCATTCTAATCATAAGATTCTCAAAATGATTCAAAGTTTCAAATAAATTATTTACAAAAATTTGCATATTAGTGCCTCGGGTAAATGGCCATTCCACATAATAACACTCTAAGCATTTCAACTATCGATCTAGTCCTAGATCCTCATCTAAATGAATATATTTCACCCATGGACCGTCTAACCATTACAACAAATTCATTCCTACAGCTGACATTTTAAAATAAACAATCTCATTACTACCAGAAACTCAAAACTCCACCTACAAACATCATCTAAAGAATTAAATTCCGTCTGGCTTGTCATTAAAAAACAACGCGACGAATATCAACGATTAGAGAGGGATCCCTAATTACCCGAGAGTGCACTGACGACGACAGATGCATACGAACGGTCATTATTGTCAACATGATAAACGATTCAGCACCTTTGTCCATAAATCTCCGAATTAGCAGATTAGAGTTTTCTCCTCTCCCCCCAAAAAAAAACCATTCGTCATTACCATTATCCCATTATTACAGAAATATTGCAATATTACATTAGAATTTAATAATCCTATCATAAATCTCTGACACCTCTTGAACCCTTTAATCTCATCAATCCTCGATCCCCACCTAGACTACCCTAAAACACTGCTGTTTATTCTTATCCATGTACAACGACGACCTTTGGACCCGTGACGAGAAATCCAAATAAAATTAATTTGTCCCAACAATCTCTTCATTATTTCTCACCTTTCTACAAATCTCATCTAATCCAATTACTCATTTTTATTAATTTATCCTGTCTTTTTGTGGTTCGTCTTAAAAATTCGTTCGATCGATATAATTCAACAGGAGACATGATCCCCAACATCGAAAATTGTTGATTAGGCTTAGATTGTAGTGATCCTGGGGTATATTTCAAATAATTGATTGATATCTCGCAGATTGCAAGTGATATATCCATTTAATACATTAAGTAAACCCAAAAGAATTGACAAATTTATGTGGCCCGACGTCATTGACAGACACAACTTCATTTCAATCCATTACAACCCATCGTCATATGAAGCATTCACATAGAAGAAAATATTTAAAATTTATTCATAATTGGCGATTCGACGTAAAACTCGCGCGAAAAACAAAATATCTCCGGAATGTCATCACTCGCAGATCCCTCTCGAGAGTATTCCAAATGTTTGAGTACTTATCTGACCGTTATCTCCAGATGTTCACCGGATTCTTTGCTGAGTCGACTTTCTGGGAAATGAAAATGTTTATTCGAGATGCTAGAAGATCGTTGAAGTCTGATGTTTGTGGGGATTGCATTTACCCGTCTCCGTTGCCATGGCCATTAGTACTGAGTGGTCTGGAAGACACAGAAGTGCTCTCATGGTTATCTCCTTCCAGCACTCGAATACAATCAAGGTCCTCTTTTGCAAGTGTTGGCTCTAGAATTCTCCTGAGGAGTGGAGTTGATTCGCCTGAATCGTCACTAGAAGTCGACTCATCGTCAACCTGTGATAGCTCCATGCATCGTTTATCCTGACGAAAAAACAAAATCATTAAAATTTCAGTGACTCGGTTGACAAACTTTTATTAAAATGACAAAACCTCTTGCTTGAGCCTCTCCATCAATCTCTCCTTATCCATTTTCAGCCTCTCCGCTTGATCAGCTTGTGCTGCATTCTTTATTCCCGATAGTTCCAATAACGCCAGATGTGCATCCTTCTCTGATAATGCAGCTTTGAGTGCTTCACGTCTAAAAATAGAAATCGATAGTGAATTGCATTAAAAAACTATCAACGGGAAAATTGAATGCTAATTAAAGTGCCTACTTCAAGTGATGGAGGTCTTTGAGTTGCACTATACGTTCGTCCGTTAAACGCTCGAGCTTCTTCTCCAACTTGGAGAGCCTGGACAGTAAGGGCCTACAAGTGTGGCACTTGAGTGCCGAGGCCGATTGCATTGATGCAATTCTCTGCTCTAATTTTTCAACCTGATAAATTGTCAGAAGATGGAGTTGAATATTTTTTGTTATTTATTCATTGAATTCGGGATTAACATCAAATCAATAATTTCAGTTGCCAAATGAACAGGTGATCGCTCTAAATTTTATTCAATAATAATATTAGCCCCAAAAATGTTACAAGCCAATATATTACGATATCATTATATTATTTTTAAGAATATTACAAAATTAAAGGATTATGATATAAATTGTATTATCCTGGCGAAACATTGTTGGCCTCAATTATTTTTGAAGGATTTGGTAGAGGATATGTCTTTAGAGATTTCTAATGATTTAATTGAGAATTAAAACTCACCCGTTCGAAAGCATTTTTCCTGGCCCTTTCGGTCATCTTAATTCTCCTTTCACTGTCACTTGTAATTTTAACGCTTCCCTTCAACGCCTCCTTCAACTCATCATTCCTCTGCTTGGCATTTTTCAAATCATTCTCCAATCGATTCTCTTTTTCCTCCTTCTCCTTTATCACCCCCAACAGCTCTTCGATCTGTTCCAGGTCAATTCTCTCGCCAAACGCTCTTTCTAATGAATCGATCTCATCCTCAAGCTGTTGAACCCTCTCATCACGAACTCTAATCTCTTCCTTGAGAACCCCAATATCTTCAGCTTCATATTCCCTCAACTCCTCCCTCATACTCTTCATCTCTTCCGTCATCTTTGCTACTTTATCCTGCCACTCAATGACTTCCTGCTCACATGCCTGGAGTCGATTGTCCTTTTCGGATATCGCGTGCTCCATCTCTTTTATTTTCATCTCCTTCTCTCCTAACGTGCGTTGGATATCATCATTTTCAATGAATGATTCCCGATTATCCGGTATTTGAAGAGATTCTCGTCTCAGAAGGTCTTTCTCCAAGCTCTCAATTTTCCTCGATAATTGATCAATCCTCTCCTCGCGATCCTGAAGCTGCTGTTTGAGGGCATCAACGTTGTGGCTCTTAACGTATTCCTCAAGATGCGTCACCATCTCTTCCAATTCAATAATCCTTGTTTTTTCTATTCTCACATCGGTGTTACGTTCAATCCAATTTTCCAGCTCTCGAATTCTCCTGTCACCCACTGTCACCCGAGCCTTGAGATCGCGCAGCTCCTTGACATCCGGATTCTCTTTCAAAAAATCCTCGAACTCTGCGATTGTGTCCTCCAGGCTCTCTATTTTTTCCGATTTCATTTGAATAATATTACGGAGATCGGTAATTCCTTCATTGTCTGAGTGATCTCTCCAGAAGTTCTCAAGAGACAAAACTTGGGCTTCCAGCTGACCAATTCTGTTGGTCCTGATATCCTCGGCATCTCCATTTGTACTCTCCCGACATGATGGATATTCTTGCTGCGTATTGTGATGTTTGCAAGCGCACGTGACACACAAGTTTTCAAATAAAATAACAATACAGTGAAAATAAATAGTGAGAAACACAAAATGGGAAGCATTCGGGTTATTCGCACTATATAACGACGAAGTGTCTCTGAATGATCGCGCCTACCATTTTTAATTGCCACTGTTATTCATCTTCCATTCGTAATTATCTTTTCAACCTCTTCTCTTTATTTATAACTATTTATATAAGTGCATATCATTTTTTATAACCATTACACATACATCCGCGATCAATATTACGTCCATAAATTAATATTCACGACTATATTAAATTTTATTGTTGCCGTTGATTTGTTTGTCAGTTTAATCTCATTTTTGTGGTTTTACTTTAATTGTTTAAGTTTTTAAATGTATATTCGTTAACGTATTCATTCAATAATTCAATACTCCAGTTGTTTATCATTAATCGTAATATTAATTGTTCAATTATCATCACTAATTTTTATTTCTTTTTATTAATACGTTAACAATGGTCGTAGCATCTGACGAAAAATTAATAATCATCTCAATGAAATGTTCACCGTCAATTCGACAACTCACAGCTGTAATTATCCATGGATTTGTTTAATATTTTCGTCGAGGTGCTCTTTTACACGAGTTCATACGATTATTTAATTTTTAATCACTCTTAACTGGCAAATTGTACTAAAAAGAATGGAGGAGGCGTCTCCAACGAAAAACGACCTTAGAAGAAGCTTTTCAAGAATCCGGCGGGTCCCGCCTACATTACGATTTCAAACCGGAAGTCATGCAGAAGGCAAATGCAATGATTAAAATAATTAAGCGTTAGGAAAATAACAGAATGAATCCGAGGTAAGCATGGAAAGAAGAGAAAAATTCGTTAGTTAATTAAATTTTTTAGTAATGGATCTGGTGGAAAGATAAAAAGAAGACGAACCTCTTGTTGCTGTGCAGCTGTTTGTTTCAACTTGGCTTGTGCGGCTTTCAGTGCTCTGCAGTACAAAAATGTAATTAGTCCCTCGAATCGAGTTAAGGAGACTCCGTAATTATTTGAGATAAGAAAACTTACTCCTGCAGGTCTCGGATTTGTTTTTCCTTCGAGTTCTGCTCTTCTTGTGTCATTTGCACAAGTTGAAGTAGTCTTTCTGTCTCGGCAGCGCTTCGTCCAGCATCTTCCTTAGCTTTTTCCAATTGTTGTTCAGCTATCTCCAGGGATTTCTGCATATCTGCCAGTCTTTTGTCCGGCGACCCACCACTCTGCAATGGAAATAAAAATGAAATCCTTAAAATCCATAGAGTTGAGTATGTAAAATGAAATCAAATGGTTTTCGTTTCAATTTCATCTTCTTAGCATTTTGTATTTTCACCTTTTGGAGCTGTTGCTCCAATTGATCCATTTTCGCTTTTCGCTTCTTGAGATCTTGATCGAGATTCTGGAGCATCCTCTCCTTCTCTTCAGCAGCTCTAAATCTACCCTCGGCATTCTTAGCTCGCTCCTCAGTCTGTCTCTTCTGCTCCTCCAACTGACGTCTTTGATCATCCAACTGCTTTCTCTCCTGACTAGTGTCGACGCCAGCTTTCGCTGCGCCAGCTTGGAGTTTCTTGTTCGCCTCGTGGAGATCGACCTGCCATTCACATTAATCATTTAAAATATTTAAAAATATAAAACGACATTGTACTACAATAACGGCATTATAGCAAGCCTCATAATTCGTTCCGCAATATATTGAAGTGAAATAAAGAAATAATGAAATTGAATGGAACGATTTGGCGATAGTGAACATCAGTAAATATGAATGTGTAATCATAACAGTAAAAATAAAATAATAGCAGTAAAATCGCATGGCAATTATAAATCACAATACCATAAAAATACAATTCGCGTGATGACACAGACACACTCACACAGTATATAATAAAAATCTGAATATATACAGTAAAAAATTGCATGAGGCAATAAACGTAAAAACAATTATCAGAGTGAAACTCTAACAATATAAACGATGAATATTGATCGATAATAGTAACAAAATTCACTACTACTTAAGCTACATTCCCAGTGAAGACTAAAGAGCTTGAATAAATAATTGACACACGTTCCCCTTGGAAAATTCGTGAGAACCGTGAGCTCTTTACTCCCACTGTCCGAGTGCGATTCGACGATAATGGGAGGCCCAATCCTCCAATTACGAGGCATGAAGGGCCCATTGGATGATAAATAAGGAGGGATTGTCAAGTGGACGTGTGAAGAGGATGTGAAAAACAAATTGCGTGCTGGCCGGTAAGCCGACAAATGACGTTGACGATGATGATGAAGAAGCTTCGACGTGGTGTGAACGATGAACATCATTATAATACAACACATTCGTGTACGACAGACAGATGATAACACAAGACGAAAAATGTGCAGGCACGTGTGCAACCGAGATGGTGAATCAATATATAAAAATATATTGCATGTGTAAATAAACATGTTGATCATTAATTTTGCAGGTGATTGGATATGAGAGACTGAATTGCGCTGCTACCATACAACGGGCGTATTCCTCAGACCAGGTCATTCCCTGATCAGGTCTAACCTGATTTTTCTCGAGCTCCTGCACCAGCATCTCTAGCTGAGCTTGGAAGCGTTCGCGCTCAACAGTTGCCTGCTTGATCTCCTCTCTAGCGCGCTCGAGGTCCTTTCGCAGTTTAACCGTCTCCTGACCACCGCCATTCTGCTGCTGCTGTCCCTGCTGCAGCATCACCTGCATCTGCTGAATTTGCTGCTGCTGAGCGTGTATCTGTCGCTCAGACGTTTGAATTCTCTTCTGCAGCTCGTTGGCATTTCTCTCCGCACCATCCGCTCGTTGTTTTTCCGTTTCAACGAGCTTACGCCACTGCTCAATCTGCCCCTCATTTGTCGCTGATGCACCAGCACTTGCCAGTTGCATCTGGAGCTCTTGAATTCGTTTCTCCGCTTGCTCTGCACGCTGTCGCTCCTTGCTCTGCTCCTGAGTGAGATTCTGAACTTGCTGTGTAAGACGACGAACTTCTCTCTGTTGCGCCTCGAGGGTCTCCTTAACAGCTCGATCGGGTGTACCCTGTTGCTGAATTTGCTGCAATCGTCTGACCTCCTCTCTCTGTCGCTCCAGCTCAGCCTCACTCGTATTCAACTCCTGCTGGAAATTCATCAACATATCCTGAGATTTCTCCAACTGAATGACCAATTGATCTCGCTCCACCTGCAGCTGTTTATTCTCAGCTTCAAGTTTCTCCCGTAATTTCTCAATCTTCTCCGAGTGCTTCTCACGATTCTCAAGAATAGCTGCCAATTTGTCACGCTCGCGTAACGCCAATTGTACGTCATGCTGGAGTTTGGCAAGTTCCTCATTACCAATAACCTGTTGCTGCTGTTGAATTCTTCGTATCTCCTGTCTCAGTGTATCACGCTCCTCCCGTATAATGGTTAATTCATTGACAACTCTCTCGTACTCCTTCTTGGCCTGTTCAGCTGCCTCCTGATGCTTAGACAACACCATCTGCGACTTCTCGAGCTCCTTGGCAAGCCTACCAGCCTCCAATTCCACCTGATCCCTGGCAACAAGAGCCTTATCCAAACTCGCCCTCAGCCTTTCAACCTCGATACTCGCACTCTCCGACCTCGTTTTACCCTCGGTCTGCATAAGCCTCTCTAGCCTAATTATTTCAACTCTCAATTTCTCATTATCCCCCTCGAGTGCATCAGCCTTGGCTTTGAGTTTATCATGCCTATCACGAATTTTCTCCGCCTCGATCTTCGCCCTCTCAATTTCAGATCTCATCTTCTCCTGATTGGCATTCGCCTTACTAGCTTCATCTCTAGCTCTCTCAAGCTGCAGCTGGCTCTCGTGCAGCTGAGTCTCAAGCTCAGCGCTAGCCGACTGTGTACGCTTCAACTCAGCCTCGCGTATATCAAGCCTCTCCCTCACTTTATCAAGATCCTGCTGTAGCCTACTACTATCACTCTGCCATTTCTCTTGTTCGAACTGGTATTTACCTCGAACACCCTCTGCACGCTCGAGATCGGCACGCAATCTCGATGCATCCTGCTCAGCTTTCCTCGCCCTCTCCAGTTCAGCAAGTGCCTTATCCAGTCTGTCCCGCAGTCGCTCAACATCGAGTTTAGCACGCTCGTGCTCCTCCTTCTGACGCTCCTGGCTCTCCTGATACTTTCCAAATCTCGATGCATACCTCTCGCACTCCTCCCTCGCACTCTCCGCTTCAGTTCTCAATCTCTCAGCCTCTGCCTGCGCTTTGCGCACCTCCGCCTGCTGTCTATCGTGCTTCTCGTACATCTTCTCAATCTCAATCTGCATTCGCTGGAGTTCGTCCTGAGTCTTCTCCGTCGTTCCCTGGGCCTTGTTCAATTGCGAATGCGCTCGCTCTAGCTCGAAGCTTATTCTCTCATTATCAGCAACGAGCTTCTCACGTTCGTTCTGCAAGCGTCGCAATTCAATTTGTGACTTCTCGTATCTCTCGCGCAACATTTCCAGATCGACGCTCAAACGGTCCAGGTCTTCCTTGGATTTCTCTTCACTCTCTTTGGCACGACTAAGTTGCAGTGCCGCACGATCATACATCTCTTGAACACGTGCCAATTCTTCCTGCGCCTTTCGCGCTTCCTCGCGACTCTTGATGGACAAGTGTTGGTTCTTCTCTGTATCCAATTCCAAACGGTCTTTCTCCGCTTCTAGGACTTCGATGCGGTTCTGTAGACGATACGACTCGCTTTGTGCTCTGAGGGATAGAATTTCAGTGAATACATCAATTGTTTTGATCATTGATTTAACTTTCTGGTAACTTGTGTCGGGGAATCCCTTACCTATCAAATTTACCCAACAGCTTTTCGAATTCTTTACTCGTTGTTTCTCGCTCCTCCATTGCCTTTCCTAGGCTATATTGGGATTTATCGAGCTTCTCCTTGAGTATTTCAATCTCCGTGAGGGCATCATCGCGTTCCAGCTGGATTAATTAAAGAGTTAGAGCTCGGAATGTTGAGTTTTATAGAGGAATTTCCAAGGGAACTCTAGTAAAAAATAATGAAAAAACTCACAGTCAACTTCTGATGAGAGTTGTGCGCCTTTTCCCACCTGTCTTTAACGAGATCCAATTCAGAAAGTGCGTTATCCTTGTCCCGCTGAAGCTTTGAGACCTCTTCCTGGAGATTGTCACGGTCCTTTTGTAATCTTGAGACAATTACCTGTTATAAAAGCCCCAGAGTGCTATTAGTACCGCATTACCATGAACATAATCGTAAAATGGATTGAGCAAGAAGGTCAAAGAATGTAGATCGGTACCTGCGCTTTCTCATATTTATCTGTGAGTCGGTCAACCTCGAGCTGAATTGCTTCTCTCTCTTTTTGCATCCTTGCAGCTTGCCCCAGGGCCTTGTCCAATTGACTCTGCACGTTATCAAAGTCGTAGTTCTGCTTTTCCTTCTCCATTTGCATCTGTGTTACCAATTAATTGAATGGAGAATGTCATTTAAATAAAAAAAACCGTGAAAACAAAATTCGAAATAGAAAACATTTCCCAAATATGCCATAACAGATGCATGAATTCAATTAAAAAAAAATCTTTGAATTGATATTTTCATTTATTAAACCGGTTAAGATTAGTTTCAAGGAATAGGATGAAAAGGGAAGATAGGATTGAAATGATTGATTGGAGATGAAGAAGTACTCACACGTCGGACTTCAGTCTGTGACTTCTCAAGTCGCTCCTGAAGCTTGTCAGCCTCGCTCTGGGCCTTATCCAACATGTTCTGAAGCCTCTCCTGTTGGAGTTGAGCCTTACCAAGTGTTGCTTGCGTACGCTCCAACTCCTCCTGCACCTTTTCTAATTCACCAACTGCCTTGTCCCTCTCAGAATGCAGCCTGGCGACAGTGGCCTGCGCTCTGTCGTACTCATCACGCAGGCTCTCTTGTTCAGTCTGAGCATTTTCCAATCTCGCCTTCAACCGATATACCTCACCCTGACTCTTTTCCACCTATCGTTCAATAGAATCATCAAGCATCTGTCTTTACATTAAAGAGGAGGTAAAGGGCATTGAATGGTATCGACCCACTGTCGCTTGTTTTGGCCGTTAGATATGACTCTGATGATTGATTCATGAGTGATGCTTCAAACTTAAAAATATCAGGTTTTCTTTACACCAAGGGAATTCTCGATTCTATCATAAATACACTCGAGACATGCAGCTACAGGCCAGGTTAATGAAATTCTCTTGACCCATTAACAAAATAAAAAAAAAATGTTCTTTTCCATTGAAATACTTTACAGTGGTATTCATTAAAATATTATCTTTATTTTCTCACTCATTGTGTCCAAATAAATGTCACAATGTCTTCGAAATAATGTGTTAATTCCTAGATTGAAAAAAAAATGAAAAAAATAGTCTACCTTTTCTTGAAGGGCTGTTGCCTCGGCCCTCGCTCTCTCGTTATCTGCCTGTGTAACGCGCAATTCAGCCTGAGCTCTTCTCAGCTCAGTTGCTGCTTTTTCAGCACGTTCGTGAATTCTATCCATCTCTTGTGATGAATTTATCGTACTTCTGCCGAATCCTGTTTGGGACTTTTCAACATCGTGTCTCAGCCTCTCATTTTCTAATTCCAGTCTTGTCAACCGCTGTTTGGCTGCTTCCCAGTCGGCACCACTTCTACCCACCTCAGATGCTGCTTTGTCCAATTCTGCTTTACTTTTACCTAATTCTGACTGTGAACTCTCGAGTTTTGCCTCCAGGCGATCCTTCTCTGCTTGTGCACGCTCCAATCGTGCACCGAGTTTTTCCACCTTGAATTAACAAAATTCTCAGTCTTTCATTATCTTTCAAAGCTGAAAAACCAATGGTAGAGATTGTTTGGGTTTTTAATTAAAATAATTCCTGTCATTTCTTGGTCATCAGTGGAAGCGTGAAATTGCATTTGAATAGTTTCATCAGCGAAATTAGAAAAAAATTGCAGATATTTCTCTGAAATATCGAGAGAGGAAATTAATGAAATTATAAATTAAAGAAATGATACCTCTTTCATCGGCATCATAAATTGTTGTTAGAGAAATAGAGCATGAGTTGAAATTAGACGCGGGACTAAATCAAACGACCGGTAAAATTAAAGACGCGGCGAAATATGACAATTTTCCTCTTTTTTTTTGGAAAAACTAAAACGATGATTAAATCAAGGGAAAAGTTATAATTCCAAGTCTTCCCGGAGTTTTCCGGAAATTATGCGCAGTTTCTGTTAATCTTTTAATTCAACAAAAAAACCATTAACATGAATTTGCGAACTTAAACATGACCTTCATAAATTTAATTTCGAGGATTAATTTATTTATGACCTCCTACTCGTTGAAAGTTTAAGTCGGCAATTATTTCCCATCAGTTCCACCCCAGCTGGTGAAATTCCGGTGAAATTATAACAAAAAATCAGCGAATACTTGTAGTTTATTAAAAAGAAAGTCAACCCAACAGCAAAAAAATTGTTCACTTCCATTTAAAATTGACGTTGAATTTCCATTTTGTTCGAAGACCGTATAGCCTGCATACATACAATTTCTGTGGCGTATGAGCTAGAGTGGAAACAAATGTCACCCTTCCACTGGTTGGAATTAGTACAAAATAAAGTGTGGAGTGTACCTCAGACTCCAGCGCGTGAATTTTCATTTTGTATTCCGCCAATTCCCTCTCATGGAGCTCTCTCTCCTCCTGTTTTTCTTGTTCAGCACGATCCCGCTGCTCTCTGAGCTGTGCCATCTGCTTTTCCTTGTCCCCGATAGCTTCCTCCAAGCTGCTCAATGCGCCTTCACTACTGCAGTGATGTGCCTGCATGGCAGTCAGCCTTGCACGCGCCATATCCACTTGGTTGTCTTTCTCCTTCAGCAGATCCTCAAGATTTTCAATCTGCATTTTTCAACAATAATATTCCACTTAATCGAACGCACCGATCATCCATCATTGGAATTACTTTGACTAAGAGAATTATCAAAAAGCAGAGGAGAATTGATTTTTTACTGAAAGGTAGGACTGGATCTAGCGGGATCTGTTTACTTACTTTCTCGGATACTTCCAGCAGATATACGTTTTTGTTTTTTATTTTTATCGAGCCACAGTTAACTTTTTTCTATAGCACCACAAATGCTACAATACATTGTGTTCTGTGTTTTTCATTGAGGCATATGTGTTGTGTGAATGTGTAACGCGAATTGAATGCGTTAACGAAAAATCACGAAACTCACAATCAGATCGAGTTTCGGAAAAGTAGTTTTGTGGTTGGTGAAATAAAAATCAATACACATACCGGGATAGAGAATGGGATCGTAGGAATGGGATGAAATTTACGAGGGCAAAATAAACAAAAGATTTTATTGATAAAGTAATACAAAACTATACAGTGCGCAGTACAAAATAAATGGATATAAAATACTGGAGAACAAAGGCAACTTATTGAACGTGTTTTGGGTATTGACGGAAATACTGTGGTGTTCAATCTAAACTACGCTTTTACAAACTACGAATACTTAAATCTAACTATACGCTTTCTATGTATATTTCTCTCGTCCTCATTCATACAATTTCATTCCAATAAATTCAACAAAATTTCAAATGATGGTGAGAATTGATGACAGTCTTATGAAAGCGACGTGTCGATATCCCCAGTGATAAAATTATTTTCATGAAAAAAAAACAGACTTCAGGAATATTAAGACTCACCTTCCGCTGGAGGACATTAATCTTCCGGTCTTTAATATCCATGTGATCTTTAAGTTCAGTGAGTTCCGTGTTGAAACGATTTCTCTCCTGCTGTGCCTGCAGAACGGCCTGAGTTTTCTTCTCAATTAGGCGATTCTTCTCCTCCAACCTCTGCCTCATCTCCTCGACCTGATGAAATGTCAGATGAAAATAAATTCCCAATTTAGAAAGACAGACTTTCGCATCAATTATTTATTTTCGAGTCTGCAAACTTTCCACGAGAAATATTTCATTATTAACAGTTCTCATTCCGAACGAGATGAGATATTTCAGAGCGAATATCAGAATAAAAGACACCACAGCTCCTCATGTTCCGTTGATCTCTTCAATCTGCTGAGAACTTGCCCTGACTATTCAATGAGATTAGTCCGGCCCTCTAAGCTCTTCAACAATAACGAATAAAGAAAAAAGAGAGAGAAAAAAAAAGTACTGGAAAGTGTGTTGCCTCGATAATGGAATAAGCCCGAGGAAAAATTTCATACTAAAATTGAAAGACATTCACATGACACATAGCTGACCCACTTTACCCCAGTGACCTGCTTCCGCCTCGATTCGATTTATCTAACCGAGGAGAGGCGTCGCACGGATACCTCGGTAAAATCGATTTGCTCGTGGATTAAATCAGGTGATGCATTTATAGATTTTATTTCGAGTCAACCAACAGCCAACTGCCTCGAATTGTCACTCCCAAAAATAGGAATACATCAAGATAGACGTCACAGCTATTCTCAATAATGAAAAATAGAGAGCCATCAGATTTATTTGATGTCTTACGTCAGCCTGCAGCATATTGTAGTGCTCCTCCTTGGCGCAGAGTGACTCCTTGAGCACAGCAATGTGCCTCTGATAATCCTGATGCTGTTCCTCCAGCGTCTTCATCTTGGCAGCCATACCAAGGATTTCCTGATCCCTGCGCTGTACCTCACCCCTGAGCTCGTCGAGCTGTGAAAATATTCGTCGTTCGACCAAAAATCTATCAGTCTCACCATTCCCTCCACCAGACCGTTGCCAAATTCAATTGGACGGTCCATTTTATCTTCATATTCATTTTAATCAGTCACTTGATGTCTTACCCTATCCCATTGTTCTGTCCGATCATGGAGATGTGTTTATTCTAAATTATCAATCATTTCAGGTGTGACAGACCATCTCTGACGATTCACCAACTCATTCCTGATTTATCATTGCTTCATCATTAAATTCATATTCCATACCCGATAACAACCCCCAAGTATCTCCACAATCGGTCAAAACACTCGGGCATGCAGTGGTAGACTCGTTAAAACGAATATTGTGTAAACCTAGTGTCACATATCATGTGATGAATTGATGTTAATTCACAGTTTTGGAGTGGATGTTTCTCAGTGTGCAGCTCATTCGATTCATCGACCCTCCTGTTGCTTGTCTGTATATCATATTTCCCTTCAAATTAATAACACATACCTACTTGTCTGACTCTGTCTACTTTGTTGCAGATAAATATAGCGCGTGGTTCTCGCTGTGAAAGCATCAAAGTCCATCATCCCTTGATTTCACTTTGATGGAATCACAGACGAGTAAGCATTTTACGTGTATCACTAGAGATCTAACTAACGTCTAAGCGAATGTGTCATTTGCGGATTTGCTCCAATTTCTATTTCAATCCCAATGGGGGATGTAAAGACTCTCTTTATCATTTTTTTTTTTTGGTTCTTTTTCTGGTTCTTTTTCTGCTGCCGCTGGGGTAAATGACACACTCGTCTATTTGACTCCAAATGATGAAGACTCCTGTGATGGATTTAAAAAAAAAAGAACGAGCGGATCAAGACACCCTGCAAATGAGATTCATGATGAGAGTGGGTGGGCAGTGGGGAATATCGCGTGATAAATGTTGATGTACATGTGTGACAAGGGATGCAAATGGATGGAGGTCAAGACTTTTGGACTCCCAGCGAGAACTAAATGACTCTTTTGCTATTTTATCATGATTTTTCTACCATCGCGATGAGTTACAAGTTGCAAGATCATTATTCCAGCGAATGAGAACGCGATTCAGCGGATTTAATGATAATGATGATGACTGGATATTCAGGCATCGTTAAAAATACTTGAATTTGTACTGATGCAGATAATGATTATATGACTGATAATACAAAATGCTGTTGATACCGATAATGATTATAAAGAGAAATTCGGCTGATGAATGAAAAAAAAAAATAGTTCAATGATATAGTTTGAACGATCGGTTGGACTCTGAAGACAACTACTTTATGACAGAATAACAAACACCAATTTTTGAACATTACTCGTCAGTCCATTAATATTAAGAAATAAAATTGAAATATTGTTACATTGTTTTTTGCTGGTGGTAATAATTACGATAATCCAGATACTATGGATGTAAGATGCCTCTTTTAAGCGAACGCAGTGATAAACGAAGGAATGGGTGCTTGGAGAGCTTGGAAGTGCTTCTCGTTCGACGGGTGAAGTGATATCCTTACCTCTTCAGTAAGCTAAAATATTTTGGGCACCATATTTAATATGCTTATCTCGTCAACTGTACCACTCAAGATTCCACCGAGACTCAATTACTCAGCAATTGTCAGCCACAAGAGTCAACAAATCATCCAGTGGAATTGAAAAAAAAATTGCCATTTTGCGAGAATCGATGGAATCGACTGGCATTTGTTGATACGTTGTCTTATCTATAACTTAAACTTATCTTAAGACTTTAAGTACAGCTTAAAAGCTGGAAAACCATCAGAGGTGGGGTACGTTTGGTCAGTTGAATGGTTTTTATTTGATATTTGACGTCTCCTTGGAACAATCGACATTGGAGTGAAAAAAAGGAGAGCCAGTGGCACTTGCGATCGTCAATAGTAATCAAGAATGGTTTGCCGAGTATCGCTCAAGCGTGAGACAAAAAACCAAACGCTTCAACTCTGATGATATCGGTGTGAGGAAAAATAACGCAGTGTCACTGTAAAAAATCTGTTCTTCAATCATTCATATTGCCACTCCTAACATCAAGATGTGATAACTTCGTTATTTTTCAAGCTTCACCTGTTTTCCAGCGTTGAAGATAAAGAGAGAGAAAGATTCAGGAACTTAAACACAAGTAAATAATCAAACAACTTGAGTAACTCAATTTTTTAACATAATTCAAACTCTCACGAGTTATTTAACGATAATCATAAAACCATAATTATAATGACAATTGGATAATTTGGAGAGTGAGAGAGAGAGAAAGAGAGATTTAAAAATAGAATAAAAGTTGAGTTCGACGAAAGCATCGAGTACTTGCTGCGCTTGCATGCACCATGCCATCGTGAACAAACGTTTGGATGAAAAATAAAAAATGGTGAATAGCATGCTGTTATCCTTTGTCTCCTCGATATTCATTATTTTCTACTGTTTCAGTTTCATCGGCGTGTTCGGTTTTACCAAGTGCTGGAGCTTGATGGTGGCGTGGTGGTAAAAATTAACTAGATTTTATAATCTCTTGGCATGAGAATTTGGAAGAGACTCATAATGAAAAGGTGTAATGAGAGGATGATTGCGTGCCAGAGAGAGAAATAAGCTCAATGGAAATTGTAACGACATGAGTGGTGAAAGCTGGGCATTTTTTTTGAAGATAATCTTCTTGGGAAGACTTCGCCGGTGGTGGTGGATAGATATTTGACTAAATGATAATGAAGAAATCAGAAAAATAGTTGAAATAATGTAAATTATAGAAATATTTGAAATAATAAGAATTGTAAAATGTCCGAGAAACGGAGGAATATAATTTATTTGTTTCTTTTTTTTATAATTTCATATTTTTTTAAGTACCGGAGGATTTTTTTCGTCGTGATGGGACGTCCGAATGCCAATGAATATCAGTGATGTAAAAAGGATACTTGAAATGATTGATTTATGAGACTGCGCCAATGGTAATTGATCACTTGAACCAATTGGTGATTGAATGATTTCAGCAATGATGCAGTGAGTGATTTTGAAAGAATGATTTAGTCTGAATGATTGATTTTGGAGAGGTTTCATTGATACTATCGCTAGATTTTCAGATTCGCATGAATTTATTAATCAACGATATTCTCACATAGATTTTTCCTCAATTATAATTTTTCACTCTTCAACAATATCTCCACGCTCTGGCGTACTTCACGTTTATCTAATTATCGCAATTATTCTTGCGCATTTGCTTGAATATCTTATCATTCGAAAATATTATTTTATTCATCAGTCCTCTATTGCTATTACAAAGTATCATTTACATCACTGTCGATCTCCCTCGTCCTCGAAGGAATCATTAGACGTTTTTTTTTTATTGAATAGTGAGAGGACGAGGAGAAATTTTGATCGTTGGTAACGACCGATTTGGGATTGACGATATTTCATTCTTCATTAATTGAGTTTCTCCTCCATCTTCACAATAGTAGTCATCAGAAGTTTCTTACGTTTATAAATCATCATCATAACTCGTGGAATCATCAGAAGGAATAGCTAATTTATAGACGAGTGGGACGCAGAGGGGGCAATAGAATTTGCGCGATTTTTAATTTATTTGTTCTTCTAATTCGTTTATTTGGCTTTCGGGAGTGGCCTATACTGGATTTAATCTCTATGAAAAAATATAGTAGAGCCAAAGTCGCGAGGTTCGAGTTCCTCTGATTAAACCTAACAATCTTTTATGCATTGACTTCATTGTTTTTCATTACTCTGAATGAACGAAAAAAAAAATTTGTATTTCTGTACAATTAACATTCTTAGACATCTCAAGGGGTCAACAGTTTCTAAGGCCTAAATTTTAATATATTTCTGCTTGTTTAGGTACGCACATTTAAGATTCGGCAAGCTACACAGCCAAAAGACTTTCTTATTTTCCCACCTCACGTCCGTAACACCACCTCAGCATTCGAAATTCCTCTGGTATATTATTCATAATGGATTTAAGCGTTCTGGCGGTAAATATATGTCCCTATATACCTACATCGTATACATCGAGTCGCAAAAATATACTACCGATTCGACGTTTGAGTTAATCTGTATATCATATAGTATAATTCTCTCTGAAAAGACAGACTTTAAAAAATAATAGAGACGATGGAATTTTATAACTGGAGATAAATACAATAAGGGTAAAAGAATAATTGAGAACAGTTGTTTTTAGTTTTTTTTTTTTCGAACACGGGTGGCTTGCAATACGAATAATATAAAACCGCAATAAAGAGCGGTGATATAATGTTATCATAGTGTTAGTAGTGATAATAGTGTTTAGGATCGAGACAGGGAATCCATTACCCGCGAAGACACGTCGAATGTGACGTATGAATACGATATTCGCTCAATATCTCATTAATAATTCACTCATTAAATATACTTTCGCCACAATCTATTAATACGGTATAATAATATCTATGTGTAAATATATGTATGGGGAAACCCCCCTGTCGTTAGGGATCTCCATGGGAAGTACGATATATAAGATATAAACACTGGGGTCTCTCATAAAAATGACGCTTGGTTCGCTCGGAGGTATACAAAGCTGCATTGAACTTTGCATCGAGAAAGCTTGCAAAGAAAGTCTCAATGAAAGAAAGTAACGCGTTAAAAAAAAGTATAAACAACAATAACGATAAACCAATGTTCCAAGCACCGAGACAACGAAAAATCAGTGATTAATATTGCTTATTGATAAATCCCCTGCTCCGTATGAGAAATAAAAAAATAGGAAAAATCCAGTGTTGGAGGACTTGTCTTCCGTGAGCTGCATCCACACTCGATCATCTTAGATGACGTCGTTCTTTTCGATGCGGACGTTGTTGATGAAGAAACTTACTTGGCGTTTGAAGTTGAGATCGTGCTTGTTGAAGGTGTGAGCATGTAGTGCCAGGGCGCCGGCGGCGGCCGGCTCAATGTGTTTGAGATGCTGCTGTATAGTCTGTTGGTGTGCCTGTTGTGCCTGCTGTGCCTGATGCTGCTGATAGGGTGTCGGTAGATGATGATGATGATGGGTGTAATGATGTTGAGCCGAGTGTGATCCATGACGATCGGTGTAGGGATTGACAACACCAGTACTGACACCAGATGACAAACCAGCTAGGCACGATGATGCTCCACCGGATGTACCTGTCGAACCGGCAAGCAACGGATTTGTTAATGATGATGATGGTGTTTGTCCATGTGGTAGGAGGGCTGTCATAACGGAGGGGCCACGTGTCAGTACAGATGCCTGTAGACTTCCAAACGCGGATGGAAGTGACAAGGAACGTCCCTTGGCAACACTTTCGATACCTGTTGTACCTGGTATAGCTCCAGGTGTTGTACTGCCACCGTATACACCACATGTACCACCACTTGGTACAGCCGTTGCTTTGAGCAGTTGTTCGCGCAGTCTACCACCGCACTCTCGTATACGCTGCAGTTCAGCCTCCAGCAGGCTGACCTCTTTCTCAAGTGTCTGTATTCTAGCATCTTTGGTCTCGAGTATGGCTGTCAGTGTTGTACTACCTGGTACACCACCCGGCACTGCTACACTACCACCGAGGACTGTTGCTGTATTGCAGCTTGTGCCTGTACCATAAAATCCAATACCAACACCACCGCCGCCGACGCCACCGGTACTCCCTGCTACTGGAGCACCTGATGATGCTGTTGAGGCGTACGCCAGCTCCAACTGGGTCTGGAGGCTCTTCAGAGTCTCGTTCGTCGCTTTGAGCTCCTTATAACAAGCAATGGCAAACGTTACTCACCTATGCTTGAAATTATTATTTTTAGTTTGGTTTATTTTTGTATTTATTCATTCATTCAGTTGGTGGCTTTTGGTGTTGGTGGTTGGTTGTTGTGCTGTGAGATAGTTCATGATCATTACGAGGCTGTTGATGGTTGTCAGGGTGTGATAATGTGATCAATCGATTAACATCATAATTTAACATCATCGACAGCCTCGCTGATGATCGGTAAACCAACTCTCGGAGGAGACGTTGTTTGTGCTTCATCTCGGAGTGTCCCGGTTGACGAAAGAAAAGCGACGTTCCCGCTGTGCTTCGTACACTCTTCTCGTTATTCCAATAATTCTTCCATTAATATCATCAATGATTACAATCACTCCTTCAATTGTTTATTTGTCTGAAAACCGGCACACCGCCGGCAACCCGTCGATCCCCAGTTTACGTTCATTCTTCAAATGTGTTCGTTATTATAATCTGCAAGCACATGATTTTCGCTTGAGAAATTCATTCAAGTCAATCTCACCGCTTTGTTATTTTCATTTTTCTTTCGATTTTTTTCTTTTTCAAACATAGGTTTTTATAGATAATAATATTGATACTGATACTCCTCTTGAGAATAGTTATCGACGTCGGGCGACGCCGCAGTTCTTTCGCCCACCGCGACGTACGGCCGACATTTTGTCCATCGTTGCATTCACCATGCGCATGAGCAAACAATCTCTATTTTCATTTGATCTACATTTTATATTTCATCCACTTGTGTGTCATCTCGCAAATAGCGA